TTAAATATAAATAGTACCTGCCACTATTTCATTCATATTAAAATGAATTTGCCATCAAAAGTAGGTTAAATCATCGCCTTTTACCCAACATATGACATCATAAATACTATCAAAGTGCAGTCTAATACCGAGTGAGCCAAAAATGTAGCCCAAACTAATTCCGCATCTGTTAAAATGTTATTTCGCATAATAAAACCTTGTTTAATGTTGAAATGATGATGAAAAAAAAATGATGATGGTCCAAAATGCCAGCCTCGTCTCATGACTACGGGCTATCTCTGAGAAAATGTCAACCCCTACAACAAGTAGGATAACAATTTCTGTGACCATGAACTTACAACCTCAACCGACCAGTGCAGGTCTGCCTGAAGGGACGAGGCTGAAATTTGTAGAATGGCCATAGAATTGTGACCTTGAGGAATGGACCCATGAAACATGGTAAAATGCAAAAAGATTTTACATGGTAAAATTAACTAAATATGATTTCAACTCATACTGGATGAATGAGTTAATAACATTTCTTTGGATGACATTTTTGCCTCACCCTGTAATTCATTTTATTTTCACACTTATTCATTTCAGCCTGCCCTAATATAACAAAGAATCTAGGTTGAATAGCCAAAACCAGGCACATGTAATTACAAAGAACTATTCAGTATATAAATAGCTATATGTGAATGACACAACTGTTTTATACACAAACAATACAAGGTTAAATACAGGATTATAATCCATAACGCTGAGTAAGTCACTATCTGAGTGTTGTAACAAACAAATTAGTTATGGTAGTTATGGCACTTAGCTGTCCTCTATTTTGTAATTGTATAATATTAGTATGAAGCACTTTAAAATATCAGAAAAAATACGAAAAAATCACGAAAAAAATATCAAAAAGTAGGTTTACAATTAACTTTTCCCCTTTACAGTTTAAATCATGTCTTAAAGTTGAATACAACTTTGCACTAAAAACTATTAAAAAGGCCTGCACTTTTGGTGAAAATTGCATCTGAATTAGGGAAAATTGGTGAGGATGGGTGGATTAGGGACAGCTTAAGAGATAATTCAATTAACTTGATTATCATCCTTATGTCATTTATTGAAGATAAGACATGGATCTAACAGAACCATTTGATTTCGTGGTTAACTTATTCTTCGAACTAAAGATATAGCCCTTTGAAAATGGCTTGCCATACCTTACATGCTCTTTTGATGAATTTTTGAAAATCGACATTCCCATGTTAACCTATGGGAAATGGTAGGTTTGCTGCAAGTCATATGATTGAATATCCATCCATCCGAGTCCTTGCAAAAAATACGAGTTAGGCAGACAATTGAATTTGCTAACTTTATTTAACAAAAAATTGATATGTTTCTTCAGGTTCAACAAAGTTATAGGGCTTTAAAGTCAAAATTGTTTTTCAAAAAACCTATACTATGAAATAACACAGGAGGCGAAAAATTATTTTCAAAAATGACTTTGAAGCGCTGTAACTTTAATATTCATCAAATAAACTAAACACTTAGTGTTCAAAAAAGTTAGACAATTCAATTTTCTATATAAAAATATTTTTTTGCTGAATCTTTTTCTGAAAAGATATCCTGATTTCTGATTTGCCCCGAACCCTCCATTTCCCATTGGATTACATGGGAATGACGATTTTCAAAAATTCATCAAATTTATCATCAATTTTCGACCTTTTGTAATTGAGGAAAAAAATTGAGAAAATTTTGAGGTATTGGAAATAAAGTCAAGTTAAGTTTCCATCAATGTTATAAGTTATTTCATCGCCGGTTAAGTAAATAAAAATTCAAACGTAGAGAGGCTTTAACACGTAGTTCAATGAGGAAAAAAGGTTGCCAAACTTATGGAGGGGAGTGTACATTATAAATAATGTTGAAAAGCAAAATATTCACTCTTTTATATACAAAAAGGTACTTACAGTGTGGGCCAATAAAAATTGGAACATTTTTCTGTTTATTCAATTGTCTTTATTTTTGCAGTTCAATCCATGAATATTCAGATTATGGTAAAATGATTATTTGTGAAAATGTTAAAGATTAAAATATGTATGTATGATTATTTTTGGCTTGTAATGGTCATGATCTGTATTCTGTGTGTGTCATGAAAAAAATCCAAATTTTCTCTGCTTGAGACATCAATGCTAAAAATACAGTATCTTTCATACCCTACAATATGCACCCTTCAGATGGTCTCAACACAATTTCCATCAATTAAAACATATGTAGTTATCTCTAAGGGAAGCAAGGCATGTCTCCCTTGAATAATATAGCTTAACTGACCTCAGCTTTTTTTCAAAATTGGCACAATATGTCTCAAAAACTGTGATTTAAGCCATGTATGACTGTCAAATACAGCTAAGACTGATTGTTCAGGTGGGCGAAGGAAATGTTCATGAAACCTTACGTTGAGTAAAAAAACTAGAACATTTTCCATCAATTGTAATTTTTTGCTAGTCATGTATTATCTTCAATACTAATGGAAATTGAAAAAACAATTAATTGTCAACAGCTTGTACAAATATGAATGCAAACGCTCAACATTTAATTACTGATCATGTCCTCCACCCACCTGAACAATCAGTCTGAGCTGTATTTGACAGTCACGCATGGCTTAAATGATAGCTTTGAGACTTATTGCGCCAGTTTTGAAAAAAGCTGAGGTCAGTTAAGCTATATTATCCAAGGGAGACATGTCTAGCTTTTCCTCGAGATAACTACATATGTTTTAATTAATGGAAATTGTGTTGAGACCATTTGAAGGGCATGTATTGTATGGTATGAGATACTGTATTTTGAGCAATGATGCCCCAAGCAGAGAAAAATTGAAATTTTTCCTGATACACACAGTATACAGATCATGACCATGACAAGCAAAAAATAATCATACTCACATATTTGAATCTTTAACATTTTGACAACTCATCATTTTACCATTATCTGAATTTTTGGGAACTGAACTGCAATAACAAAGAAAATTTAATAAAAAGAAAAATGTTCCAATTTCTATTTGCCCACCCTGTAAATGTAATATATTCCTTTCGCCTTGTTTAATTATATTTGTTAAGTCTTTCAATTAGTTTAGTTTTGTAAGTGAATGGACCGGGTCTTATTCTCACAGGGTGTGTACCGAATTAAGCGTGACAGGTGAACGCGCAAGGTAGGTACAACACGAAGGTCATGACATTTGAGCAAACTGATGGTTTCATCATTTCAGAAAGATCTGATCTAGTGTCTAGATATTTTATATGTAAATGTCTGTAACAATATCCTAGACCGTGAATTTTTTAGCTCAAACTTCATAAACTATCAATGTAGTATATACGAGTACATATATATAATAACTATACTATTACGGTAAGGTATAGGTTGACGTTTCGATTTTACATGCACGCTTAAACTCCCTAATATTACTTCCTCGCCTCTTACGAAGAAATGTAAAAGAGAAAGATTGATAAGGAGATCTTTTTAGAAGTTTCTAACTTTTTTTTTATTCTGTAAGTTATCATCGTGGAATTTAGACACATTTTTTAGAATGAGGTGGATTTTGACATCCTGAAATGTTGTATTTGTAATATCAAAACGTTCGTTTCTACAACGTTTTCTTGTAAAGCAATGGAATTCCATTTTCTATTTTTAACCGATACCTTTTGCTTAATAAAATAAAAACCTAGTACTGTACGAGCAAAATAAAATGTGTCTAAGCTAGATGATGAAGTAAAGTCTTAGTTTTCGTGAAAAACCGATGCATATTCCACCAGAAGTATCTCAAATCATCTACAACTTATCAGAAGTTCAAATCTGACTTTAGATTCCTTCATCATTGACCTTCTCAAGGTCAAAAAGGGTAAAAAAGGTCAATTCTTTTTTCGAAATCATCTAGAAGTTCTCAAAAGTTCAAATCTGACTATAGATTTGACCTTCAATGACATTCTCAAGGTCAACAAAAATATTTGACCTTCTCAATGTCAAAAAGGTATTTTTTCAACCTATCCTAAATTGACCAATTCTTTTTTTTCTAAAATCATTTACAAGTTCTCCGAAGTTCAAATCTGACTTTAGATTTGAGATTTAATGAGGAACATCATTCAAATTTTTATGGTTATGTGTCGGTCATGGAAATAAAAAGGAAGCAAGGCATGTTGAATAGAAATGTAAAGGTTACATGCATCGCTATTCCCACAAAGTTATGACATGATCACATGTGAAACTGAGAGTGGAATATATTGTTTCTTGGTTTGGCAATAACTCATTCTTTGCTGTAATTTAAATATAAACATACTTATACGAGTACAACTAACTTTTGATTGTACGTTTATATTTCACATAATTTTAAAGTCATTTTGTATCCTCCAACACGTGCTTAATAAAGTTTTACAAATGCAATTCAAATAATTCAAAAATTAAATAATGATGATCTAAACACTTTTATTAAGTACTTTTTTAATGTTTGGAGGATACAAAATATTGGACGGCCTAATCTAGACAACTTGAATTCACGACAGAAATACCTACACTCAATCATACATCACCAAAATGCACCCTCTGTATTCTAGCTTCCACCAAATAATGCATCAATAGTGTATATTAATATGGCCGATGTGTTGGAGGATACAAATAACAATTGGTACCACACACATTTTATTAACATGCTCAAAAATATCAACGCAATCGGTACATTTTAGGTTAAGAAATCCGAGTTTATATTTGCCGAAAAATAAAATATTTCTTAGTTGTCTAAAAATCCATCATTAAAGTGATATTTTTAAAAAAGATAACCAATATTCCAAACAGGTACGTTGTGGTAATGATTGCTGAAGTCTGGTCAACAAAAAATAACACATTGCATGTCCATGAAATCAACATATATGTCGCAGTCTCTAGTACACGACAGATTTTTAAAATATCAATTCTCGTAAATTGGCCCATGTACATATTCATTTTAAAAATGTGATCAAGTCTTAAAATGTTCTTTTTTCCAGAGAAGAAAAAGTCGTGCGGTTACTATGCGCAGTTTGAAGAAAAAACTTGTCGACTACTGATTCAACATAGAAGAAAGATTTGTAATTCAACCGTCACATTAAGTTTAAGATATGACTACTCATTACCAACTTTACAGAATTCTGTCAATTTCATCAGAGAAAAAGAGGGCCAGGTTATTATTTTCTCTAACGGCCTTCACAACAATTTTGATTTACCAAAAACAAAGTTAGCTTTGCACAAATACTTAGAAACATTGGGTAGTAAAATCTTTAAGCGAAACAAAATGGATAATCATACCACACCAAGAATGGTATTTATGAGCCCACACCTTCCCGGTCTTATGAAAAGTCCCCGATATTGGAATACCCAAGGGACTAAGAATGTGACAACGTACACATCTGAAATGCGAACATTTCTATCAAAATACAATATTCCAACATTTAATACCCATGTATTGACTAACCATTCATTCAGCTTCGATGGCACCCACTTTGGTTATGGACTTAACCACCAATTGGCCCAGACGCTGCTGAACTATATAAGTCAACATGAATGGGGAGCTGATTAGGATAACATTTTTAGAAATGATACCATTTCAGAGATTTGTTTAGGGAGCAACTCCCTTAAATTCACATTTCCGTAAACTCTCTCTACTTAGCCATTTTAATAATGGGCAATGGGTAGGTTTTTTCTCACTCTTCCATCCCTTTTCAATGAAACATGCATCAATTATTGACTTATCAGTCTTACTGAACACCATGATGGCAACTTGACAGTAAATCTTTGGAAGACTAAAGTGAATGTGATATGAATAACTTTTAGCAAAGACTACAATGTAGTAACATTGCACTTTTTGACCTGATCTGCAGTACAGTTTTGCAAGACAGTACACCAATGGACTTTCAGGAATGTATATTTTGACTAGGCAATGTCTACAATGTAGCTAGACAATATATAACTGTTTTTTATATTCCAAGAAGACACATTTACAACTCAACACCTGGTTGACAAGTGTCAGGTGAAAGTTCCCAGGTAAGACGTCATAACTTTATAGCCCGGTATTTCATTTTTGGACCATACTTTTTATTTTAACGTTTTGTTGTTAATACTAAAGGCACTGCATTGAAACTTAGAAGCAATAGGATGACGTTATAATACTGAACGTTTCACTTATATACTTTTTATATTTTCTGAGATATTAACTCTCAAAGTTCGGGACGTTTTTTTTATCCACCCGATATATTTATATTATACAAGGATCGGGTTACGTTACTCATACATTTCCTTTCGATAACTCTAATATAAAACACATGGTTGTTTCAGCCTAATTGCTATATTTTATAATACGTAAGCTGATGAGTCTCCAACGTAAATGATTTGTCTATTATTTTCCGCCTTATTAGACTCCAGATGTCAATCTGGAGTCTATTGTTTTTGTCAGTATTCTTTATTCTTTATTATTATTCTTTATTATTCTTTACACGTTTTCTCGTTAACTAGAACATATTGAGTCAAGTCTTATACAGGGCGTTCATAAAGTTCTTGCAAAAGTCCTTTAAAATTTTTGCATCTCAGTCCATCTGGCTGAAATTTTCACTCAGTATACCTACACTATTCATACATTGAGATCCTAAGTTATAATTAATGGGTCCTTGAAGAAAAAAAGTTATGGTTGCTATCGTCATATCAGTCAGGGGTAGGCGGAGCAGGCAAAAAGGATCTGTTCTGTTTGAATGTTCAAAATGTTTTTAACTTGTCCTATTTATTTAAATAATTTAAATAATCTCAAGAGTATAGGTGTTCAAAATAGTGTCCATCGTGGTCTATACACCTCTGCTGTCTTACTTAGCATTTCTCAAATAGATGGGGGAATCAGATTGCGATTGATCTTTGTATGGATGGCTTTCATCAACGTCATCTGATCCTCACTGGATTTTGTTCTTGGGCGGCCTGATCTAGCGTTGTCCTTACCATTTGTTCTACCATCAGTAAATGTCTTAGTCCATTTTGTAAATGGTTCTTTTGGCCATAGCTTACTTCCAAAAAATCTCATGAATATCATCAAGTGTTTGTTTTCTTGAATTTCCCAGTAAAACATACATCCCAATGCTACTGATTATTTGTAATTGGAAATCATCATCTTTTGCTGATTTTGCAGCCATTTCCACGAAAATAAAATTGACGCTGCCTTTCACAAAGTTTGATATCATCAACCAATGTAGGTCACTATGATACCATGAGTGATGTCATGAATCAAAGAAATTTCAACTAGTGTTAAAATGGCAACATTGGCTAGTTTTGTATTTTCAAGGATACTTTAAAGTATGTTAAAGTTACCCCTAACCCATATTTTTTATCTTAATTTTTCTTTTTTTCAATACTGCTCCGCCTACCCCCGACTCAGGTTACTCTTGCAATTATAACTTTTTATCTTCAATGACCTATTCACTATAAATCAAGATTCAAATGTATGAATAGTGTAGGTATACTGTGTAAAAATTTCAGCCAGATTGATTCAGAAACAAAAAAATTAGAGTACTTTTGCAAGAACTTTATGAACGCCCTGTATATGGTCCATTTAGGTCCTAAATCTTGTTTCTCGGAAATTGGGTCAAATTTTTATCTAGGTCAAAGGTCAAGAACTAGGTCAAATCTTACATTTTCAACATTCTGTCATTTATCTTCGTCGTTGTTTATCGTAACTCCTAAATCTTTTTTTCATCGTGTAGCTTAGAAAAAGCCAAAGCAAAGATATGACATTAGATTTTTGATTACGCTTACCGATTTTGAAATATGGCGTCCAGAAAGTAGGTCACAATAAAAAGATCTCCAAATTTAACATATGAGTTATGAATTAAGGGTAGAATTTTCTCAGGAATCTGAATCTGCAAACCAAATTTCGATCCGACTTCCAGTTCAAAAGTTATGACATTTTAAAACTTTTTTTAACCTGCCAATAACCACGCGCAAGATCGAAAAAATCAATATGATGGTATCCTGATAAAAAGTCAAGAGTTGTGAAGAAAATATTGAAAAATCCTTCCATCCATCCTATCTATCCTATCCTATATCCTATCCTATATCTATCCTATATCCTATCGTATATCCTATCCAATCCTATCCGTCTTTCCTATCCTTCCTATCCTATCATTCCTTCCTATCCTATACTATCCTATCGTTTCTTCCTATTCTATCCTATCCTTCCTTCCTATTCTGGAAGGAAGGATAGGATAGGATAGGAAGGAAGGGTAGGATAAGAAGGATAGGAAAGAGGGATAGGACTGGACGACTTGGCTTATTCTGGACGACTCGGCTATATCCATCCCACCTATCCTATTCAATCCTATCCTTCTTTCCTATCCTTCCTATCTATCCTTCCTTCCTTCCTATCCCATCCTTCCTATTCTGTCCTATCTTATTCTTTCTTCGGATTCTATCATATCCTATTCTATCCTTCCTATCTAGCCTTGCCCCAAGTCGGTCTCTTTTACTTATCTTGATTTCTAAAGTAAAAAATACCGACTTGGGGCAAGGCTACTTCCTATCCTATACTATACTATCCTATCCTTTCTTCCTATTCTGTCCTATCCTATGAATTCATCCATTCATCCATCAATCCATCCATCCATCGGCTTATTCTGGATGACTCGGCTTATTCTGGATGACTCAGCCTATTCTGGATGACTTGGCTATTTTGGATGACTCGACTATAATATCCATCCCACCTATCCTATCCAATCCTATCATCCTTCTTTCCTATCCTTCCTTCCTATTCTATCCTACCCTTCCTTTTCTGTCCTATCTTATTCTTTCTTCGGATTCTACCGTATACTATTCTATCCTTCCTATCCTATCCTATACTATCCTATCCTTCCTATTCTATACTATCCTATCCTTCCTCCCTATTCTGCCCTATCCTTCCTATCCTATCAATCCATCCATTCATCCATCAATCCATCCATCTATCGGCTTGTCATGGATGACTCGGCTTATTCTGGATGACTCAGCTTATTCTGGATGACTTGGTTTATTCTGGAATACTCGTCTATATCCATCCCACCTATCCTATCCAATCCTATCCTTCTTTCCTATCCTTCCTATCCTATCCTACCCTTCCTATTCTGTCCTATCTTATTCTTTCTTCGGATTCTATCGTATCCTATTCTATTCTTCATACCCTATACTATCCTATCCTTTCTTCCTATTTTATCCTATCCTTCCTTCCTATTCTGTCCTATCCTTCCTCCTATCAAACCATCCATTCATCCATCAGTCCAGCCATCCACCTGATTATTCTGGATAACTCTGCTTATGCTGGATGACTCAGCTTATTCTCGATGACTTGGCTTATTCTGGATGACTCGGCTTATTGTGGATGACTCAGCTTAAAAAGTCTAAATCTGGAGTCTGAAATTGAACTTGTTCAATTTCCAAAGTCTAGTTATTAAAATATTATGTGATAGATTTTATGCTGCAATGGGTCTTTTTCCGTCAGATGAGAGTTCAGATGCATTATGCGTTTTAGTGACGAGTTGCCAATTGTTTTACGGAGTGAACTTCAATGCCGTATATTTTAAGAAAAAAGCTCAAGACATATTTTGCTGTATTTTGTATTTATGAAATTAAACCATTTGGAACACGGTTCGTTTATATAAACATACGGCGCGGATGGTTGTACAGGTACCTCAATTTTAGTGAAACATGGCTATCTTGCAACACCCTGTGTGTTCAGAGCGACCGAAATTACATGATGGTGAGTATCTCTACGACAGAAGAGGTGTCGAAATGTGAGATGCATACCGGAGGCTCCAAAATGGTTTCAATTTTGTGGTAGGAGGTTACGAAAATGTTGTACGATGGGACAGGGGTGTGAGCAGTTTACAATCGTACCATGTGCATTCTATTATTTCAGATTTATTTGCTTTGAGTGCTATTTTTACTCCCCTAATACGTCAAATATCGCAAACACAATCAGCCAGGCCCAGTAACTCGTCAAAAAATATAAAATAAATATCTCTGATATAATATCTCTCATACATCTTTAATTTTCAAAATTATTAATAGAGAAGCTAAATTTGAGAAATCAGAACATTTTTGTAAAATCCCAGTTCGAATAAGGTCTTACATATCGACGATTATCCTTAATTTGTAAGGATCACCATTTTGCCTGGAGAGTCGATTTGCAGCAAAGTAAGTCATGTTTTATATGGTCTATATGGTTTTGATATTTCAATTGCTTTCTCTTTATAACAGGATGTGGACCTTGGTTATCATAGTAACCGTAAAATATTTAGTAGTAAACTTAAATACATAAAACCTGAATAAAGTATAGGAATAATGTCAGGGCAGCTACCAACTATGAACAAGATTGGTTCATTATTTTCACATTTTTGTTAAACTTTGAACAACCCTTATACATTTATAATATGTAGAATACATGAAATTAGCTTGCTTTGATATCAAGATAATTACATTTATTTGTAAATAAGCTTTTTACAAATATTTCGAAAACATTTTGGGAGTGAACCCCAAGTTAGCGTATCGTTATATAGGATAATGATATATCTTACAGTATATACCCGCTTCTATCAATGTAGGCCCCAAGGGCCGGTCCGCTGGTCATTACACGGTTACTTTTGACATGTAGACTAACGTACATGTTGATTTTTTCACTGGGTATAGACAAATAACATTGCAACTG